CCCCCCCCCCCCCCCCGATTCATGACTGGAATTGGATTGTCTTGTCATGAGTCCTGGGATGCTCCAAAAATTATATGCACATGAAGCACAGAGCAACCAGGTCTGGCTCCACATCATGGAGGGTGGGACCACATTAATCATACGCACTAGACTGAGAGAGGAGATTCTGGGTGAACAATAGAGGGATTCTGGATGAACTATTTAGGGCCCCATGTGGTGATGTTTGCTAGACATTTAAGGCTGGTGAAGAAGCAGAAATCATTAGAAATAGGAAAGAAGGCTCAGCTTGGCTGTGGGAGCATGCCTTCCACTGTCCTGAAGAGCACAGGACAGGGAAAGAAGGGGGAAGCAGCACTGGACCCCGAGAGTAGGGCAGAGGGCCTAGGAAGGGCCGATAGAGCTGTCTACCTTGGGGCAAGAGTCCTGGCAGCATTGAGGGAGCAGCATTCACAGCCCAAACAGCCCCGGACATGCTTTAAGAGCATGTCCTGGGTGCAGGTGGGCAGGCATCTGGCTACATCTGACATAACAGATAAGCTGGCCCCAGACAAAAGCCACCAGCCAGCTGACTGGCAGCCTGCCAGAGAAGACTGGCATTGGGAGGGAAGCCAGCACACCAAGGACAGCAGGTAGGCAGGGAAGAGCCTACATGCCGGGGAGGACCAGCATCTGGAGGAAAGCAGGAAGCAGGCAACTAGAGAAAGCCTGCATGCTGGGGAGAGCCAGCAACAGAGAGAGAGCTGGTACACCAAGGAGGAACAGCATACCGAAGATAGCTGGCTTGAAGGAAAAGGTCAGCTAGACATGGGAAGTCAGCCCCAGAGAGGGGGCAGAAGAAAAGCATTGCAAATCTGGACAGTCACAGGAGTGTCCAGTAAGAAGGGCACTGGAGCAGGACCCCAGATGGAGGAGCACAAGGGAGGAATTCCAGGATACAGTGAGGGTGTCTTGCACAAGAGAGAGCAACTAACCATGAGTTTGTCTATGTTACAGTTTCAGTTATAAATTTGTTATATTGGTAGAGACTGGACTGATCGTTTATAATTTTGACACTGATTTTCTAGAAGGGGACTTTTGGATCATTTTGAAGATTTCTTCAAAAACAGTTGGTTGCTGAAAGGAAAGGGTATAAAGGGAGGTAGGAGCCCCAGGAAGAAAACCACTGGTCCAGCCTGAGCATGTTAGACCCATGGGAAGGCTTCTGCTCAGAATAAGTTAAAGCAAAGTTGTGGCGAGTGAGAACAAAAGGACAACACACAGGCACAGACACCAAAAATCTTTATTGGTTGTTAGCAAGGCCCCAAGCAGCTGGGAGGAATATTCTGGCACATATTGGGTGTGTGTAGATGAAATGGGGCCCTAAATTGAAGTAGTGGGTTTTTAAAAATACCACTTGAATTTAGGGCCGATTAAACCACCGTGTTGTGCGCACACCCAACTTACCTGCCTCTCTGGTGGCAGGGAGGGGAGGGTGAGCTTCCAGCAGGCAGAGTAGTCCCTAGGCGGTGGGGGGGCTGGTGTTTCTCTCCACGATAGCAGTGCACACACCTCCCAGGAGGCACCCACCCTCAGGCACCTGGCTTGAGCAGTCCTGGGGGGCACCACAGCTATGGAGGAAAGCACCAGTCCCCCATGCAGCTCAGGCAGGCAGACAGGCTCTGGGGATCGTGGGGGGAATAAATCAGGCTTGACGCTTTTCTTGGGCGGAACCTGCCTTCCTGGGCTGCTGCAGAGCTTCCTGCAGAGCTGGACGGAGCCTGGTGCTTCACTTCGCGGCTGTAGGGGCAGCAAACTAAAACTCCTTTGAGGAGTTTTAGTTTGCTGCACCCCAAGTCATTTAAGGCACATTATGTTGCCAAATTTCCTACAGCGGCTGGAATTAATGTACAATATGCCACCGAGGTGGGCAAACACCGACACCATTAAACTGGTACAAAGGCATTTAGCCTGCTTGATAGTGTCATGCATACATGCTCCTCATTTTGTCTATACATGGCCATTGTAATACAACGCTGATTGTACATATACAGAGAATGAAGACAAAACTAAAATGTAGTCAATGTAGTAGCTCACCATGACTTGAAAAAAAGTCAGTGCAGGTAAAGGCCTGTTCCTTAGACTGCAGGCAGGCTGACCCCTGCGAAAGTCTGCAAATGCTTCTAAATGCATGGATCTTGGCTACAAAATTTACGGCAACGGGGGACTGCTATAGGGCTTTCAACCTTTTGGCTAGGGGCAAGTTAGACTAGAGTGCTCCTGATCTCCAGTGCCTCTGGGCTTGGGGCTTGTACTCAAGATGTTTGGCATGGATTTGGGAATATCTGAAGCGCCAGACTGAAGAGTCCAGAGGGTACGATACTTGCCAGTGGTAGCACTACACAGGCTTGAAGGATTAAGCTCTGCTCAGTTGAAATTTGGAACTTAATTCGGAACTGATTTGGCCTTGGAAATGAAATTAAAAAAAAATGTGGTAGGTTCCCAAATCAGTATGTTTGCCCAATATGGGCTATGTGTTTTACAGTCATGCTCAGTGTTGGCTGAATTTAATCATCTTCATAGATGGTTTCCATTACTGAGCACATGCTGCTTTTGGCAGCAATTTAATGAAGGCAATGTATTTAATGAGTTTTCCTTGAATGAGAAAGTAAAACAAGGAGCATTTTTTCCCCCATGTTGATTGGGGCTAATTGGAGAGGAAAAAATCTTGTCTTATATTTGAATAAATCTGGTAGCTTCCCTTGAATATATCTGTGTACCAAAGTATTCACCACTTATACTGATAAAAGAATACCCTTATGAACACTTATTTTTATTAATCTTTTCCTAACAATTTAATTTTTTCCAAACATCTCACAATTTCCTCTTCACCCTGATTTAGAACTATTTTGCAACACAGCAGTTTATACCATATTAATTTAATAATGTATTTCATTCATATTTTTATTCAAGTCTATGCAACCACAATTTTGGCCCTGTTAATATATTCTGGCACCTATCTTTATCACCTTGTTATTGTTATCATCTAAACAGTCAGGACATTTCAGGACTGTCTCAGGAAATTCAGAAACTTTTTCTTTTTCCAGTCATACCTGTGCACTGGGCAGGGCTAAATCCATTAGTTCTATGCAAAACAGGACTGAAAGTTAACTCTAATGAAGGTTGGCTGATACATTTTACGCATCTGTGAATAACCAATTTAAGAATAAATGGTTAAGTCAAAATATAATTACAAAAATGCTACCATTTCACTAGGTATCATTGCTTCTGGAGCTTTTTTAACCTTTATACTAAGACAAATATACCTTTAATATATAAAAAGAAGGATTTAACTGAACTAATGATATTTTTCTTTGTCTTAGAGTGAACTGCCTCAGTTTTATGAAGGCTGCAGGCATTGCTGCCTTATCCTGAAGGGGTAGGTAGGGAACAAGCTGCACACTATGTTAAGAACAGTATATTAAGCAGTTGAAAAAATATGAAACGTTATATTTGAGCACTGAGATCTTATCCAGCTTAAACTACCATTAGGTAATTTTGTAATTTACCACTGGAAAGAAATACATCTTTGAAGAAGTTTCCAGACCTCAGAGATTTTATATTTTACTTTGAGTATTTCTAAAAAGTAGATGCACTGCATCTAAAAGGTAGATATAACACACATAACATTTCGTTATCCAGTAGGTAATGTAGTCATCTAAGGTACAATTTAATTTTTATAGTTTTATAGTATTATAGTTTTCTTTTAAGTATCTCAACCTATATTTTAAAAACAGAGATCAATGCTTACTGGAACTTCTATAAAACTTAATTCAGCCCTGTATTAATAAATACAACTCCATTAATAACTAGGTAATGGTACCTGTTTACAAAAGAGTTTTTTTTCAGAGGCACTATAAAAAGACAATATAAAACACATAAGTAATGCAGAAGGCTTTGGCAAGATACTAAAAGTCAGATGTAACTGTAAGCCGGAAAGAGTCCCTTTGACTTCAAAGGAAACCCTAACATGCTTGAATGTATGTATGAGCTTAAATGTTTATCTGAATTGGGGTTTCTCAGCAAGTGTTTTTCCCTGGCGTGAATTTCACACTAAGTCAGAATTGCCTTCAATATTTTTCTTTGGAAGCATCCACATCTCTTACCTGCGGCATTAGTTCTTCCTCTGAAAACATCATCATATGCTTTCCACTGAGGAGTTACCTGGTAGGCATGGATGAATACAACAAATACCACCACCAGGCACATGAGTGGTACCAAAGCAGCAGTGAAAAGGGCAGCGTAGACATTTGGAATAAAGCACCTAAAAGAAAAAATACATAAAAGCAACAGTTTTATCAACATTAAGAACAACATGAATGATTACACACAAGCAGTCAAATACAGTCTCAAAGGGGGATATATTTTGCAATCTACACATGCTTTAACTACATACCTGAAGTAATCTCACTTGAGCGCATTGTTTTAAAAGGTTTTTAAGCATTTAACATAGCTAAACTAAAATAATACATTAGGAAATTAGTAAAGTGTCATATTTTTTTTAGCATGACCAGACACCAGAGATAAATCAACCTCTAAACTGGAACTAAGTACATTTTAACAAAACACTATACATTCTATGTTTATTTAATGTGATTTTTCCTAGTTACACAAGTTTAAAAGTACATTATGCAATTTTCCATACTTAGCCCTTAAAACTGCAAATGACATTTTGAAAAACATATTTTTTACATAAAACAGCTAAATTTAAAGGCAAGACAGCTATTTCCCATTTAGTTATTGGAAATTACATGTCACTTGTATTTTGAAGCCAAATGCTCTTTCACTTCCATTAATTTCTTTATTTTGCCTCTCTTCACCCTTTCCATATATTAAAATTGTAGCTTTTTAAATAGGATGTACAGGAGGCAAGCGGCTGTTGTGATACCTTTATTAGATAAACTGTGTAGCTGAGAGAGTTGTTGGACAAGATTTCAAGTACAAAGTGCCCTTTCTTCAGGTTTAGATGAACAGTCAAACAAAGTATCACTGAAAAAATAGTATACTCGGGAATGTGATATAAGGTATTGAGAAATGACACGATACGAACCACCACATGGGAGAACAGGCTTTGCTAAACACTCCAATAAAGCCAGACTGTGCTTGAGAACCACTGACCTGCACTGAGTCTGATGCAAAGCTGTGCTGTCAAATGAAGAGCTCTGGGAGTGACTGTGCCTGCGGAGGGTATGGGATTATGACTACACCCACTCAGAAGCTGCAATGTGGACAGCCTCTCCTTACCACTTGTTAAGTCATCCCAGCCATTTAAAGTCTAAAGGGAGCCTATGCTGATGTAATATACACACTGGAAAAGGCTGAAAAAAAATGTCATCTAAGTTTCCTCTGTACTTGCTTAGGCTTACTTCTGAATTGATCACAGCAAATCCTGCATGCCTGTATCTCCATTCTAGGGAACTATTTCAGGAAACTACTGCTTCAGTTCCAAGCACTGATTTTACTACCTCTCCTTGTAGAATCTAGATCCTTGCTAGGACTCTCTTGGCCAAATATTTGTTCAACCATTGCTGCTTGCTGATGGAAATATTGCACAAAATGATATAACAAGAGACAGATGGTAACTTCTTATCGTACTAAACATATATGTGTTAGTAAGGGTGTTTTATAGACATTTACCATAAAACCTGATCTGTTGAATCCTTTAATTTGATGTTCCTTGTGCATCAAATTCATTTTCCTTCCCAAATTGTGTTTCTGTTTAGTCTAAACTGCATTAAATGAAGGCAGACTGGTATAAAATAAACTCACTTGAAGAGATTATACTCTCTTCAAAGATGATCTTGATACTGGTATACTGCCCCATGGGCATGTGTACACGAGACACTAGCTGTGCAGTAGACTAACAACACTGAGCAGTAGTGTGCCAGGCAAAAACTGCGCTAATATGCTAGTGCACAGAAATATTAGCCCACTGATCAGTAAGTATTACTAAAAACCCATGCACCAACCCTACTGCACAGTTGCACGAGTTACTGCACATGGATTTAGTACTCAACTTAATGTGCAGTAACTACAGTGCATCAATGAACACGTGGACATGCCCATAAGTTCTAATATCCCTTTTTTGTTGTTTTTGTTTTGTTTTTGTCTTTTTTTAACTTCACAACTGCAGTGAATTATATGGTTCATGTTCGTAGACAGCTGTCTAGAAGCTGAAAAAGGCATTAATAGAGTATCTAGACTCTACTAATGAAAGCCACATAAAGAATGAAAATTCACAGAAGTGGATCATTCTCATCAATATCCTTGGGTGTTAGATCAAGTAACATATTAGCAATTTACAAGGTGAGGAATACACAAAGCCATTTTGAATTAGGTCTGAAAAGTTTAAAACTCATTTTTGAGTCTTTTTAAAGGGTGGGGTGGTGAAGGCCAGTGTTTCTTATATGTTTTATGCATGCTCTGTCCTTACATGTAGACAGATATTTCATGCCTTGCATACTGAAAAATGTATGGGATAGGACTACAGAACAGTAAGGAAGTAGGTATTCCGCTACATATCAGAAGCTCACATTTATTTTTTATTAGTGTACCATTTGTCACCTTAAGCTGTGCCCGCTCCAGCTTTCTACCATTTGATGGCAATGGATGCAAAACCTCTCCAATCCCCAAGCAAACTATGGTGTGAAGAACAACAGCAAAGACTGCATGCATTCAGGAATCATCTATATCCTTATCAACACCCTAATTACCAGCATTATTTGTTTAAAGATTAAAATTAATCTACTGCAGCACAATTTTCTACTTAACACTTTTTCACACACCACATTTTTGTAAATGAAACCTTTAATTCATGTAAGGACAGAGCTACCTGCATGAGTAAGATGTTTTGTACTTCTACATCCTGCTAGTTACTAGTACTGCTAATATAATCAAATGGGAGCAGAGTGGCCTATACTGAGTTATTAAGGTTACTGTTAGGAAACACCTAGCAGTTAAGTCATCAGGCCAAGAGGAATAATAATTAAGATTCTGGTTTATTTGTTCACCTCCCCGCCCCCCTTCCTTTTGTAATTAGGAATCTGAATTACTTCCAAAAAGTCATCTTAGGGCATGCCCACTTCTTTAGATACTCTTTTGGCAACATCTTCTTGGGAAAAGGGAGCGGTAGCAAAGGTCTTTAGCTTCTTCAGGCAATTTTTATCTAGCTGCAATTTCATAGCTTTAACACAAGCTTTGCACTGCAGACTCAGAGAGCTACCTCCCTATTCCCAACACATTTCCCTTGAGCAAACCAGCATCTCAGTCCCCATCTATTTCTTATATCTTTCAGAAATCTTGTTACTACCTTAAACTTACATTTTTGCCATGTTAACTCCTCACTGTTTCTGCCAAGGAACTCCTCCTACTTTTACCTTTCTCTGTCACTTTTGACACTGTACCCATTATTATTCATTCCTATAACCCAGGGGTCATCCTTTGACTCATTCCTCTCTTTTATCTATAATACCAGAACTGCAGACAGATCCTAGTGCTTGCTGTAACAATGTTTCCAAAACCCAGCCTCTTCTTCCTTCTACATTTCACATAGAAGTGTTTATAAGCCTTTTTTCTCTGGTCTCCCCAGTGGTAACATTCCCCAGACTAGTATTACCTCGCTCTTCACCAGCCTCACCCTCCTCTGTTATTTCATGCTAAAGCCACTTACTGCATGTGTTTTCCACAAAAATCTCTACATTTCCCTTCTTACTATAAACCTATCATGGACCTACTCCAGATCCCCTGTGAAGAGGCATTTCAGCTGTGAGACCTAGGGATAATTTTGAAAATATTTTTTCAAATACAAAACCTCTTAAAGACACATTTCCCCACAAGATATAATGATTTAATTTCTATTTGAGGTCATAGAAAACAAAAATCTAGGCATATCCATTATTATAAGTATGAAAGACATGCTTTTAATTCTACCACTAGAAATCTTTAAAAAAGAAAAGATCTTGAAAGATTTGGTTCAAAACTAGAAATAGACTTAATAAATGGAAATGTTTTATCCACCATGGTCAACTCTTGTTACAGAAAGACCATTCTATCTTAATGTAGTTTTAAAAACTGCTTTAAAAAGACTAATAATACAGAATGGATTGGGGCATTACAGGTCAACAGACGTAATTGTCTTCTTTTGGAAAAAGAGGGCAACCAGATACATTGTCTACATTTAAATTAATTCACTAATTAAAATAACCTCATCTAGTGGCCAGCTGGGACTAGGACTCTTCTATCTACACCTATTCTTATAATTGATACCTAACAAGGTTAGGACTCTTTCAAGGGATAAGCATACTTATACACCCCTTTTCTTTATTTTCCTATGGTCTAATGAAGTGAGCCTGGGTTCATGAATGCTTATGCTCTCTTGTATCTTATTTAGCTAATCTATGAGGTGCATATCTATCCTACCTTTCTTCTTCCACCTTAATACATACTAATGTTCTTTCTTGAATCTGAATAGGACCATACCCTCCCACCCCACATCTTTTTTTCTAGATGTTAAAAAAACGCAAAAGCAAGAAAACAACTGACATAAGGGGCACATTGCACATTACAATTAGTTGTTAGTACAACTACGTAATTTGTTTTAAAAAGGGGGGGAGACCTTTGGCATTTAAATACAATAATCCTAGGAAGTATTTCATATTAGCAATGATTTTAGCAGGGATTCCCTTCTAAGAAAATACTTTTAAAAACCATATTTGGCAAAAATACAGTTTTATTCTCTCTCTTGTCTTTAGTTCCAAGGAGAGTTTTCCAATTGTGGAAAGTCAGGGGCCATGAAACACTGCAAATGTTCTGGATTATCAAATGATTAGAATCCTCCTAGGTACAAAAGAGAAGCAGTAGGGGGCCACTCTTTTGGCTGCTGTAACTGTTTTGTGAACTTTTCTGAGATATCCGAGAATATATCTGAGAAGCTGTTCTACAGTTATTGTGAATTTGTCACAGTAACGATGAATTCACAAAAAATAAAAGAGGAAAATGTAATGCAGTATAGTAGCAAGAGGACACTGCACAACAACCACATACCCCAAAAAAAGGGCCCTTAGTTTTGGAATTCCACAAGGATTAATTGCGTCTCCAGTTCCTTTCAACCTCTTGGGGAATTGGTCAGAATGTACACAACCTGCCTATGTGACTGACTACTGTTATGATTGGCTGTTGCTGCCTATTGCCTCACTGTGAAGGCCTATTGGTTGGACAACATCAGGTCATAGAGGAAGAAGAGCTGGCTGAAGCTGTACTCAAGCA